CCGTAATTTTTGGTTACGGTCCGTGTCATACAGAACAGACCGTAACTTGAAAAAATGTTGGGGAAGTCGAATACAGTACTTAGAACAAACAAGAAAGTACATTTCGTACTGTTACGGCCTGACCGTACGCTGAAAATACGGTACGGACCGTAGGCAAACCGTAACTGCCTACGTTATTTTTTACAGTGTAGGGGCGGCCGGCTCTGTCCTGGTCAGCTCTTCCCCGATAGCGCGACTGGAGCGGTTCTGGGGCGGCTCTGGAGCGGCTCTGGAGCGGCACACATACGGCGAGGCTTTATCTCTCTTGAATTTTCCGAGGCGCTTTTCTATTACACGCGCCCTGTTCTGCTCCGAGGACCACGCGCGACCGCATGTGAGGCGAAGGGAGGGAAGGAGAGGGACAGAGAGAGAGACAGAGAAGGTTGAGGGGGGGGGGTGTAACCCAAATTAATTAAAAGTCTATAATCCGAGCACGCTGGGAGCCGATCTGATCCTCTCGGGCTTCGATCGCTCGTCCCCGCTCCCCCTCTCCCTCGCCCATCCTATTGCCCCATCTCTCTCCACGAAAACCATCCCTCGACCTCCGCACCCCGTTCATCTCATCTTTTGTGCCGGAACCCTGAATGGGCTCAGTAACTCCGAACACAGACATTTTCAAGATGGCCATGGTGTCCTCTTCTTTCCCTCTGCGCCGCGCTGCGCACGGGGGTGGCCTCCAGTTCGGTTGGCACGACTGCCTTGCATCAAACGGTGGCCCTGCAACCCCCCGCCCGCCCAGCCAAGCCACGCGCTGTGTCGCCCTGTCGTCGCTACATTGTTCTATAGTAGGAAAGAAAGAAGCAGGGGCGGGGAGTTGTTGGTGAAGCGCGGGGGAGGCAGGGGCAGGGGCAGAGGCGGACAGAGGGGGAGCTGCTTTTGACAAGTCTGACGCTACCAACTTTCCAAAAGTGAAACGAGAGAAAAAGAATGAAAGAAGAGCAGGGACGAGGCGGGGCGGGGGGAGGACGGCGGTGGTGGCGAGCATGACATTACAGGCTGCCTGGCCTGTGCTCTTGTCTTTGCATTGGACCGCCACAAAGAGACAGAGTGCGGGCGCTGGCGGGTGAGGGCGCCGCGCTGGCCGGGGCGTGGCGGGGCGGGGCG